AATCTATTAATATCACCGCTTTTTTTCTTTTTCCTTTTTTGGCTTTCGATATGTTTTTTTTGCAGATATAACCTCCTAAAAGTTGGAATTGCATCGAAATGTTAACTAAATTCAATCGCATATACATGACAAAAGGAACATAGAAATAGCTACTGAGGACAAAAAATAAGCAAGAAATCAATACGAGACATATAAACTGTTACTTTGTTCATGTTTTATCAATGCATACGACTGTAGGAAACAACAAAATTAAAACATTTGCATTCAAGAATGGGTTCGTGTTTTCTTGAATAAATAATGCACTCGTGATGAAGATATTTGTAAATTAACAAAAATATTATTCATATAAAACCTCTCTTCTGTTATGTCTTTGCACCCACCTTCGTTTGTGAAAAAGAGTTGCAACTTACATGTTGCTTTTGCAAAAAGTTATATTCTTCCATCATTTTAGTTGGGGTGTAGGGTCCCCCCCCACCCCACCACATTTAAAATAGTTTTATTCTATAGAATCGACTTTGGTTGTTAATTTATACATAAATCATCTTTAAATAATTTTTATTGTAATTAATCATATACACCCACTTTCAAGTCAAGTTTTATCAATTTCACTGTAATAATTAGTTGTTTAATACCAATTGTATTAGAAGGATGATCCTTAATTGAGATTAGGTGGGGATCGATTATGGAAAAAACTTAATTGAAAAGCTGGTCTACGTGGTTGATTGTAGTAAAAACACCTTTATATATGGTTTATATACATTCCCCCTATCAAATGTGATTTCTATAGAATGATCCTAACACCTTTCGACATCTTTTTGATATTTTAGCAGCAACATATAATCAAACAAAATGCTCCAATGATACGAGACCCAACCAAACTACATCGATCTAAAGTCCAAACATACCCTTAATTTGTAACCATTTCTAAAAATCTTGTACTGATCTCTTTTTTCATCTCCCATGTATGAGGACCCACATCGACATGTATAGATACAATTAATATAAAGACTTTTTAAGGATAAAAATTGTCTATGTTTCCAGAGCAGTCACTTTGTTATCAACTACTTCTTTTTACTAAAGGAGAACAATGAAAAGGGCTCTGACGAACAATAACTCTATGCTGGGTCAATCAGGTTTTTTGAAAGATTTTTTTTTTCAAAATTTCCACATTTCACAACCCACGTTTCAAATGAAAAACTTCCCACGTTTTCAGAGTAAAAATCAGTTTTTCTTACCTGATTAATAAAAAAATGGTTATTAATCCTGCATACGAAAAGTGGTTATTAATAAAAGGTGGTAATGAAAAGGATGAAACGTGGTTTTTTTTTCAGAGTTTCTACATGGTTATAATCCTTACAAACGTCACTCAATGGTCATGAGTTGATACTTCCGGGGTGGATGAAAAGAGGTAATTTCTCTTTTCCATTACCAGCAATTTAGCAATATAATTTCTCCTCCATTTTCAACATTTTAGCAATCTGATTGAATATATAACCATGCAGAATTTTGTCACATTTTGCCTGTGAATTTCGATGTGGCAGAAAAATATCAATAATGGTCAAATGGTTTTGAAAATGTCCAATCAAATTTGAGTTTACATTGGTTTTGAATCAATAATACTTTTCTTCTCTGCATTATATTTCTCTTATTGACATGAAGAAGTACAAAAAATAGAAGATTCTAGATCCCAAGCCTAAAAATACTGATTGAAATTACAGATCTACAAGGGATGAGATCAAATTTTGTTCAAAATTATCCGAAAAAAGCATACAAATCAAGAATAATGATAACTTTAATCTTCAACTTACATTTTGACGACTCCAGAGGGAAGACAGTCGAGGGAGGAGTAAACTTCGATCTTCGAGGGATGACGAGCTTCAAGGGATGACGAGCTTCAAGGGAGGAGTTGACGATGAGCTTTGAGGGAGGAGTCGATGACGAGCTTCAATGGAGGAGTTGAACGACAAGATTCGAGGGAGAACAGTGAATACCCTAGCCCTAGAATCCACTTGGAGTTGGATCTGAAGGAGGAGAGAGGAACCGATCTACTTGGAGTCAGATCTGAAGGAGAAGGCAGATAGAAGCAAAGGAGAAAAAGTGAAAATCCCTAGCCCTAGAGCCCACTCTTACCTATTTATATGGATGGGTAACATTTGTAAATAAAAATTTATGTAAGTAATATTTGCTATAAATTCAATTAATAGGACTACTAAATCGAACGATAATGAACTATCGAACATTCATTTGGTTAAATTCTATTATAAAATTATAGAATCGAATAGTTAATGAACTATCTAATCGAACATACATTCGGTTAAATTCGATTCATTTATAATAAGCCAAACACTGAAAATTATTTGTTTAGTACTAAATAAACTATTGAATCGGACTTAATCGAATATCTGTACAAATAATAACCGAACTGTTTATTAATTATTCGATTCACTTCCACCATTACACTTCATATCTAAAGCAGAATACTTTATTTTGATAATATGTTCAATATTTATAAAAAAATCTTTTAAAAACCGTGTTTTGCACGGGTCTAAATACTACTAATAAGGGCCCGTTTGGTTGCTGAAAAGAGGAGTTGAAATGGGCAAAAAGCCTGCTAAAACTAACAAAAACTATTAGTTTTAACAGACTTTTTTTTCTAAAAACACCCTAAAAAATAACGTTTTTACAAGAAAGTCTGCCAAAACTGATAATTTTTGTCAGTTTTAGCCCTCTTGAGCAAGCAAACGGGCCTTAGGGCCTGTTTGGATTTGTAGGGGGTGAAGGGAAGTTAATGGAAACTGAGAGAAGGGAAGTGATTAAGATCCTCTACTAATGAATCCTCTACTAATATCTCCTAATAAAGAGATCTTGGCCTTTGATTTATCAATCAAAGGTCAAGATCTCCTCATGAGCAAAAGTAAGGGGTCCCACTACTTTTGCTCATGAGAAGATCTTGACCTTTGATTGATAAATCAAAAGCCAAGATTCCATTAGGAGATATTAGGAAGCTCTTCATTAGTAGAGGATCCCAATCCGTGAACCAAGGGGAACTAAGGTGAATTAACTTCACCTCCTAAGGGCTTGTTTGGATTGAGGGGAATGAGGGTGAAGGGAAGTTAGGGGAACCATTCATCTCCATTCACCTTGTTTGGGAACACTTAGGAGGTGAAGTTAATTCACCCTAGTTCCCCTTGATTCACCCTCTAATAGTATAAAAATTGTTACCCCCCAAATTAGGGTGTAACCAAGGGGAAGAGAACTCCCTTCCCTTCCCTTCACTCAGTGTCCCTTAACTTCCCTTCACCTCTACAAATCCAAACAGGTCCTAAGTGTTTCCAAATAAGATGAATGGAGGTGAATGGTTCCCCTAACTTCCTTTCACCCTCGTTCCCCTCGATCCAAACAAGTCTTTAAAGAATTCCTCAACAGCGGAATCCCAATCCCCATCACCCACACTCACTGTATAAATACGGCATCTCACCTCCTACGTCCATCTCTCCTCTCTCCTAGCGCTCTCACCTCCTTCTTTCGGAATAACGCTCGCTCCGTAATCCGTTAAGCGTGTCAAGCACTCTGCGCTGCCGCGCCGCTCACGTCGCGTCAGAAAATGCGAGCGGCGTCGGTTAATAAAAGGGACGATGCCTGATTCCGGCTGCGGCCTGGTAATCGCATGCGGCTCTTCTGCCGTCATCCAGTGGGCTGTTCGTCTCCAAGGTCAAGCTCACATCGCCGAGTCGCAACCCGCCCAGCAAGCAGAGATAGAACAGTGTCGAGCGGCAGTATATGGAGACTTATACGCTCGGTCGCGTCGATGATGGGAGGACGGACCGTCTAGACCGATTCCACGGTCGTTGTTTGCGAAAGTGCGCTGAGGATCTCCCAGAAGCGCTATCTGCGTCTGAAGGGTATGTGGAGTTCGGTGCTGTTCTCTGTTTGTTTTTTTCTTTTTCCGTTTTCCCTCTTTGTATTGTCTTGTAGATCTGGGGTTTGGGTGGCGTGGGGGGTGGTGGGGTGGGGGCGGGGCATGCCACAGGAAAATTTCGATTTGTCTAGTCGTAACGGTAGGATTTTGGCGTTTGGTTGTAAAAAAAGTCTAGTAGTAAATTCTCTTGGCCATTCTTAAATTAGTAAGTAGTTAAAAAAACTCATTCAAACACTGTTTTATTTCATTTGTATCATCCAAATAAACTTGGCAAATAAAAAACCAGGGAACTTTATTTTGTTGAAAATTTAAAGTTTTTGTTTTTTTAGTTTTAGTAATAAATATCCAACTGTAAATCCTCTTGGGCATTCCAAAAGTAGTTACTGGGGTTTCATAATTCTTTAATTTAGGGGCTGTTTGGTTCGCTATTATAAGGGGTGGAAAACTCAGAAAACCCCTTCACGTCAGATTTTTAGTCATCCACGTCAGTTTTTTTTTTTCTGTCTATTTTTTTGTGTCGCTTTAGTTCGCTCGGATGGAAGAGGAAAAACTCTGCTGAAATAGCCGCCAACTAAGATTTTTTTGCCTCTCCGATTTCCTTCCCCAACCAAGTAAAATTGATGAAAACTCTGTCACGTCAGATTTTTTTTTTCCTTCTCTGCTTTGTTTACAAAAGTTTTCTTTTTTTTCTATGCGAACCAAACACAAGAAAAATAAATACATTGGTTTCCCACCATTTTTTATATGCGAACTAAAGCAAAATAATCTATTTCTTGGAAAAGTTTAAAAAACTCAAAACTTGTATTTCTTTACATGGAATTGCATTTCTCTATATTAAGGAAACAAACCAAACAGCCCCCTTAGTGTAAATTCTCTGGTAGAATATCTTTATCATCTTTCCACGTGCTCAGTATTCTGGCCTGCACGCGCCCCCTATAAAATTTGAATTGGGTAAATCTGGACAGAATTTAAACAGCAGCTTCCTTTTTCGTTTTTGGGGCCTTGTGTAAAAAAATTAGAGCTTTTGTCCTGTTACTGCTGTAGATTTCTGTCGAAATGGTGAATTGTAACATTGAGAGGGTAAATATTGATTTGAACAGGAGCAACCTCCTTCCTCTTCACTGAGTACCAATATGTTGGAGTTTTCATGGTGGCCTTTGCTGTCCTCATCTTCCTCTTCCTCGGCTCTGTCGAGGGCTTCAGCACAAAGGGCCAGCCGTGCACCTACAGCAAGGACAAGACCTGCAAGCCTGCCCTTTTCAATGCCATCTTCAGCACAATCGCCTTCTTGCTTGGTGCAATCACCTCCGTCATCTCCGGCTTCCTTGGGATGAAGATTGCTACATATGCCAATGCGAGAACCACTCTGGAGGCAAGGAAAGGAGTAGGCAAAGCTTTCATTACTGCTTTTAGATCAGGTGCGGTGATGGGCTTCTTGCTTGCTGCAAATGGGCTCTTGGTTCTTTACATCTCAATTAACTTGTTTAAGTTGTATTATGGTGATGATTGGGAGGGTCTCTTTGAGGCTATCACTGGTTATGGGCTTGGTGGGTCTTCAATGGCCCTTTTCGGGAGAGTTGGGGGAGGTATTTATACTAAAGCTGCTGATGTTGGTGCTGATCTTGTTGGTAAAGTTGAGAGGAACATACCTGAGGATGACCCCAGAAATCCTGCTGTGAGTTTCTCTTTCCTTCTCTAAGTTATGGTGGTGCTTATTTTCTTTAGGATAAATTTTAAAGAAACCCCTGAAGTTTATCATACAGAGAATCCCTGAGCTTTCTGACTAAATCGACCTGAATATTGGAAATAACTTTAAATTATGACAAATCAAAATTTGTCATTAGAAATTTGAATGAAGACTGTTCATGTGGGAGAAAAAGACACACTAACCATGTTTTATCTATGTGAACAATTTTATAGAAAAGTTTTCTCAAAAGGATTGACAATGACATTCTTATAATTAAAAAGTTTCTGTAGATTTTCATAAACTGTGTTCGGTTCAAAAAAATTTACAGAAAAATTTCCAAAATTTATAGAAATCAATTTCCTCTCAAAATGAGCGGAAATCACCTAGAAATTTGACACTCCATTGACATTTTTTCTATAAAGTTGACACTTTTCTATAAATTTAGGGGTGTTTGGTTCAATTTTTACAAATTATAGAAAAACTTGCTATTTCTATAAAGTTATGTGCCATTTTCTTGTTTTGAACCAAACAAGCAAAGTACAAAAAACAAAAAAATTAGTATTTTTTTGACTTCTCAAAACTTTTCTTATAATTTTTTAAGAAATATAAGAAAATCATATTTTGGGTGGAAAACATTTCCTATAATTTGTAGAAATTGAACCAAACACCCCCTAAATGTCGTCCATAAGATTTTCCAGTAGTTCATGCTGGATTATTGGAATTTTGAAAGTTCTGGTTTTTCTCTGATTTTCAGGGGTGTTTGTGCAAAAACCCTGAAGTTCATGAGGGTTTTGTGAAATTTACCCATTCCTTCAATCATGGGATGAATTGATTACAAGTTTTTTTTGAACTGTGTTGTAGGTGATTGCTGATAATGTTGGGGACAATGTTGGGGATATAGCTGGGATGGGTTCTGACCTGTTTGGTTCTTATGCTGAGTCATCCTGTGCTGCTCTCGTTGTTGCTTCGATTTCTTCGTTTGGGATCAATCATGACTTCACTGGAATGTGCTACCCACTCCTTATTAGCTCTATGGGAATCATTGTCTGTTTGATCACAACTCTATTTGCTACTGATTTCTTTGAGATTAAGGCAGTGAAGGAGATCGAGCCTGCACTGAAGAAGCAACTCATAATCTCCACTGTGCTGATGACTCTTGGTATTGCACTCGTCAGTTGGTTGGCACTTCCCTCTACCTTCACTATCTTCAATTTTGGTGTTCAGAAGCAAGTAAAGAACTGGTGAGCTTTAGCTCTCAATTTCCCTTGAGACTGGCGCTATGATACCAGATGACAATCATCTCATACCCTGTGTTTTACGAATTTGTAGGGAGCTGTTCTTCTGTGTTGCAATTGGTTTGTGGGCTGGGCTGGTTATTGGCTTTGTCACTGAATATTACACTAGCAATGCATACAGGTAATTGTTGTTACCCCGTGCTTGATTCTCACTTAAATAGTCGTATAATTAATTCTAGAACAAGGTGAATGCAGATTGCTGTCATAGACAGTCTGATTAAGATATTATGAGACTGATCAGGCAGTTTTAACCAAATGCTTTGGCTTGATTAGATTTATATATCTGTTTGACACCATTTTTTTTCTCCTTTATGTAGCCCTGTGCAAGATGTTGCTGATTCCTGCAGAACAGGAGCTGCCACTAATGTTATCTTTGGGCTTGCCTTAGGATACAAATCCGTCATAATTCCAATTTTTGCTATTGCCATCAGTATTTTTGTTAGTTTTAGCTTGGCTGCTATGTACGGTATTGCAGTTGCTGCTCTTGGTATGCTGAGCACCATTGCCACTGGATTGGCCATTGATGCCTATGGACCAATCAGTGACAATGCTGGAGGGATTGCTGAAATGGCGGGGATGAGCCATAGGATTCGTGAGAGAACCGATGCTTTGGATGCTGCAGGAAACACAACTGCTGCCATTGGGAAGGTATATTACTTCTATTTGGCTCTTCATCATCATTAATCAGGGTTACATGTTCTAGTGATAATTTTTCCAGTGGTCAACTATATTATACTGCAAATTAAATTAGTTATATTTCCTTGTATTTTGGAGTTACATTGATGCAGTAACCCGATAGAACATTCACTTATGGTCTTTAAGTCTTTTTTCAGTTGAAACAAGATTAATTAGAAAAGATAAAAAGTGACGACAAAAGTGAAGTAATGAATTTCTTTTCCTTTTCACCAAGTTTTCTCAGGTTCTAGATTTTAGGGGTGAGGAGAAATAAATTTGTATTTGTTTCTTCTCTTGTTTGCTTTCTCTTGGCCATCAAACTAGCTAGCATAATTTTCTCACTTGCTTCTTAAGAAGTTTGGTTTCTAATTCACTTGATTGTTATATAATACAAAAGAGTTAGAATGTTATAACATCTTTTCGACGTATAATGAATCTCTGAGCTGAAGCAATGTTACATGTCAAGCAACAAATAACATAGTTGTCTTTTGTAATGATAAAGGATGTTAAGCGTTACTTGCTAATATCTCAAATGTTTAGTGAGCTGAAGCACTGTTATATGTCAACCAACAGATTACATAACCGTCTTCTGTAATGACAAATGATGTTAAGTGTCACTTGCTAATATCTCAATGTGTACTAATTACGTTAATAAATCTATCTCTTCATCTGTGCTGGTGCTGAAATTCCTGATTGAAAATATTTTTGGGGGAACCTTTCAGCATTCCATTGTCTTGATTCTTGAACTTGATTTGGCTGAGATCCTAGTTGATTTTCTTAAACTCGAAATTCTTTTAGGGGTTCGCCATTGGTTCAGCTGCCCTTGTGTCCCTTGCTCTCTTTGGTGCTTTTGTGAGCCGTGCAGCAATCTCAACAGTCGATGTTCTTACCCCAAAGGTCTTCATTGGTTTAATTGTTGGTGCTATGCTTCCCTACTGGTTCTCGGCCATGACCATGAAGAGTGTCGGAAGTGCAGCTCTCAAGATGGTCGAGGAAGTCCGAAGGCAGTTCAACACCATCCCAGGTCTCATGGAGGGCACTGGTAAGCCGGACTATGCGACATGTGTTAAGATCTCAACAGATGCATCCATCAAGGAGATGATACCTCCGGGTGCTCTCGTCATGCTCACTCCTCTCATTGTTGGGACTTTCTTTGGTGTTGAAACTCTCTCTGGAGTTCTTGCTGGCTCTCTTGTATCTGGTGTTCAGGTAAGATGAGGTTTGAAATATGCCAAATGACCATCTCTTGCTATGTCACTTGATTGAGTATTCTGTCTGCAGATTGCAATCTCAGCATCCAACACTGGGGGAGCTTGGGACAATGCAAAGAAATATATTGAGGTGAAATACATTGTCTAGTACTTGAACATTTAATGTATCACGGTTAAGGTTTAATATATGCATGGTTAAGGTTATTTTACACGTAGGGTCTAAGTAAAATGTTTGCCTCTACTCATGAAAATAAATGTTATGACATTCATATTAATGATTTGAACTGTTCACTATGATCTACATCATCAAACCTACATGGTGCGGGAAAAGTTGCATGTTCAGAATATTTTATCTTATATTGCAAGAAACTCAAGGAACTGACTTTTGAAACAATCATAATTTGTTTATGTTCAAATCATTAAATATATATGCTACAAATTTTTTATCCTTGTGATTTTTGATCTCCTGAGTTTTATAGAATCTTGTATATCATCACGAACTGTTTGGTTCATCAACATATGCAGTCTAATATGAATTTTTGTATGCATTGCGCTTCTCTTGGCCAATACTCGAAGTCTTGAACATTTCAATTCCTTCCATTAATTACTCAAGTCATGCAGGCTGGTGCTTCTGAGCATGCGAGGACCCTCGGGCCGAAAGGGTCAGACCCACACAAGGCCGCAGTTATTGGGGACACTATCGGTGACCCTCTTAAGGACACATCTGGGCCGTCCCTCAACATCCTTATCAAGCTCATGGCTGTCGAATCCCTAGTTTTCGCTCCATTCTTTGCAACTCACGGAGGACTCCTCTTTAAGATCTTCTGAGAGATGGGAAGAAAATAAGCAATTGGTTTGGTGTCTCAATCTGTTATGCTCAGTATCCTTTTGATCTGCATTGATAAAATTCTCTCCTTTTTTTTGTGCTTAGTTCTGTAAGTTCAAGTGGTTTGTACCCTAGGGGTTGGGTTTCAGGCAAAGCAATTTTTTCCAAGTGATGGTAGGGTCGATGATGATGATAAATGTTTGGTGATGTGCTGGTTATGACAATGATTACGATTCATAAAGAGTTTTATAGGTCGTGTTGCGGGGTTTTGTGCTTTGCTTTGCATTTTGTTACTAATCCTGCTTGTTTTCTTGGTTTTGCTTTGGTGGTGACATCTGCATTATGGTGTCACTGTTGTTTTTGTTTAAGTAAATTTAATTATGATCTTGATGGCAAAACATATGGATCCTTTATGTATTCGACGGTCACTTGTGTCTGAAGACTAAAACAAGCAATAGACGCCTCTTGTTTCTGGCTTCTTGGATCAGCAAACGTAGATTCCCATGTGGAGAAGTTGAGGATTATAGATTTGACTGGGAAATGCGTTGCATTCAGAAGAATGTCCAACATGGCCGAGGCCCTCGAGCATGGTTGGCGCTTGATTTGGGCTTTGGATCACGTGGCGAGCGGCATTTATAGAGATCTTGACAAGAGAATAGTGTCAACATAAAAGCCATTATTTGAAAGAACTTGATGCTTTAAATCTGATTTGTCTATTTCACACCGCCCACCGTGGTACCATACTCTTGACTTATGAGAGTGGAAGAAGAGGAAAAATTATTGAGGACATGTTTGGGAACCTAGCTTATAATCTACTTTGCTTATGATTGACAAATAAATTATAAGCCGTGGATTATAAGTCAAAGTGTTCGGTAAAAAAAAAGGATTATAAGCCACCTTCAATAGCAAAGTGTTTAGTAAATGAGTGGATTATAATCTATTATAGTTGTCAAAATGATAAGAAAATACATGACTCTAAATTTTGACATTGAATAGATTTTGAAATTATCTAAAATGTTGGGGATTAATTTTGATATTTACTTGATCAAACTATATGGCTTATAAGCCACCAAAAAATAAGCCGAGTTAGGAGAGTTTTTTTTCTGTTGGACTTATAAGCCAAAATAAGCCGGTTGCCAAACATGTTGCAATGACTTATACGCCACAAAAGTGGCTTATAAGCTGGTTTGACCAGTTGCAAGCATGTGGTGAAGTGAATGATGAGAGTAGATGTTAGTTCTGACTTCTGAGTTCTCTCATTTTTTCTTCAGAAACTAATAGTTTATAACACTTTCCTTTCTTTTTTCTTTTTGAGAAAAATGTGGCTAGCCCAAAATGAAAAGCCGTAGGACTAAGCCCTTACCTTTTGGTCCATGTCGAAAAGCCTTAAAAACACAATTCTAATATGCTTTACACCTTGGTAGTTGTTACCTTGGCAACAAGAAAAATTGTGTTATTTTATTTCAAGCTACCATCATCCTCGACTTCTAATTTTCTCTTTTTTCACCCTCATTAACCCATTAAATCAGTTTTCTTTTCTTCTCCTCCTTACTTAGCCTTGCATTCGCTACAACCTTTGTCGTTGCATTCTCCTTCTCTTTCTTCCCATCCTTTTCTAAATCATTATCTTTTTTGTCTTTACAGCCTCTTCTTTGTCATTTTTTTCTCTTTCCTCGATCATCTCTTCGCCGTCTTCTACAATCTTTGCTGCATCGCTCAAATATAGTCTCCTTTGGTTAAAATGACTATCTCGTAATGTCATGTCGAAGTTAATACTTAACAAGTATAGTTAATATCAAAGCTTTATAGTTAACATATAGTCAAAGTTTAACAAATGGCTGTTAACTATATGAATTAGCTTTTAAGTTTAACAGAAAAATGTTAACTATATGATTAGGTGGTAAGTTTAATAGATAAGCAATAACTATATGACTTAGCTATTATATTAACTATAAAAATTAGTTGTTAAGTTTGATGTTGGCTATTTTGATTAACAACTACTCTGTATAATTTACATCTATTCCCTAAGGTTATCATGTGGCTTGGATCATTCACATGTAAATTTTTAAATTAATATTTATGCTGTAAACATAACATCTATCATAAAAAAAATGAGCATCTATCATCTAACTTAACAACTATCATATAATGTTAACTATGACATTTAAATGTTAACTTTAACTGCTAAGTATTAAATCCAGCGATTTTTTTAGAGAACACCAATTTAGCCGAAGGAGACATCCTCTACAAGATAGGATAGCCACTGTAGAAGGAGAAGAAGGACTTTCACTATATTCTAGCAGAATTTGCTGCAAAATTAGAAGCCTTATTGTCTTTGCTGTAGATGTATCATCTACCAAGAGAAAGGACTTTCGTTATATTCTAGCAGAATTTGCTGCAAAATTAGAAGCCCTATTGTCTTTGCTGTAGATGTGCGGCACTTTAGTTGAATGTATAGAATTCAGCATGGTGCGCACATCTTCAATCAACATCATGGCGGTGTTAAACTTGCTACATCTAGTGATTGCTTGAATAATAACATGAGAGTCTCCCTCCGCCCACAACTTTCCTTCAGGTAGTGTTTTATAAATTGCACAAAGCCCCTTCCATAATCCTTTCAATTCCATAACAGTGACAAAAACTATACCGAGGTATATACCTTTTCCTATTATCAAATTTTCCATGATAGTTTTTGACAATAAAGTCGCAGCCGCCTCACCTAATTGGACATCAATTGATCTATCAAAGTTCAATTTGCAACATGCAAGAAGCCAAAAAAGTACAGCCGGGTCCAGCATACGGATGATACCAAGTAATGAATCTTAAGAGATGCGCGACTGTACCACGAGAAGTGGGATAGTTGAAGAAATGGAGAAGCCAAGATGCGAAGACCAACCTGAAGACGCCTGACTGACCCGAACAATTCCGATTGACCCACTACTGATTACACGTAACTTGGCTACCTGACCAAGTAGAGATAGGCATGAAGCTACTCTACAGAGCTAGACCCTACAAACCATACGTATGACAAGAGATCACCGACACGATTTGACCTCTCCCTCAATTGTTTAATCGCAAGTAGCACCCACTCAATGCAATAACTTTGGTAAACTGGCAACACACATGAAGCAAGGCGCACTGTCCTGAAGCACGCATTGACCAAAAATAGCATATTGCTCACATCACTCGCGCTGTGTGCGAGTCTACTTTGTAAGCTCTGTTCACCTCCAGCCACTTAGTGGTTGATCCTTAATCATCTCTGGCCCTCCTTGTACCTATTCATTAAGGCAAACCCTCAACGACAAATCCATCCTTTCTCTCCGAGAATTTTCATAGTGGCCCAGTTTGACCTCACTAAACCAACTCAAAGGACAATGCTAGCTATTTCACTCGTATGGTGTTTGTGGGCAAATTGAAAGAAGAAAATAGAGAATTGAATTTATATTATTATCTTTAACAGACTTAGAAAAAGAATGAGTTACAATTCTCTCAATGCAATCTCTCTCTAACAACTTAGAAAAAAATTATAATCTTCTTGTATTGGATTCCCGATTTACAAAAGAGAGAAAGATCAACGGAGATCCTTCACTTTGTTTAAAACTAGGTTCTTCTTGGTGTCGATGGGCTTTCGATCTTGTATCCCGTTGACGATCCGAACGTTTCACTTCATTGGAACATGATTTCTTCCTCTTGGTTGATGTTGAAGAGGACTTGCGTGGCAAGTTTAAACAGTAACTCTTAACGGGTTTAAGAACTCAGAGCGAGTTTAAAACTCTGTAAAAGAGTTAATTGATTTAACCGAAAATCGGTTTCAAGCCCATAACAAACTCCTTGTTGCTGAAATGGAATATTCCCTCGGTTGAAGAATGATGAATGCCGATCTTCTTCTCCAAGAATGCCTTTTTATCTCCCCAATTTCAAATACCGATCTCTCTTTTTTATATTCAAAAAGGAAGCCCCTTAACTTTGTTGGGTTTTTGATATTTATAGGGGGATTAAGGGGTGTAACCGACCTCTTATTCCGCTCCTAAGTGGGGTGAAATCCCTCAGATGAACACAATGGTTGCACTGTGTTTTTGAACTGGGAACGCAAGGCTGAATCTTGCATTTTGTTCTGGGAACGCAGAGATGAGCTCTGCATTTTGAATTGAAGAGATTGTTGACTTGTAATCTCTTTTGTCAGAGCGATGCAAATATTTTTGTTTTGTAATCTTCGCTTTAGCTTTTTAAAACGTGGGAGTCGTTAGATTGAAACTCCCGTTATTGATTGTGAAGGCTGTTGAATCAGAGCTTTCATCAGTTGTCGTGAAGGTCATCAAATTTGTAACCTTTCTCGATCTACGTGAAAATCTTCCAATTGTAGCATTCATGTGCTGATGTGAAAGTCATTTGATTGTAACTTTCATTGTTAAATTGTTAATGTGGAAGTCGTTAGATTATAACTTCCATGTCGGTGTTTGATGGAGATACGCTATTTATTGTGATTTTTTTAAACAACCTACATATGGTCCACAGAGCCGACGACTAGTCTCTACCGGCACAGCTTCCCAGAATCTCTAGTGTACTTAGAAAATACTATATACTTCTTTATTTGTAGTAAACCTCCAGAGAATTCAATAGAAGAGGACGACTGTTTCGCTATCTCAATCTTCTGTGAATCTTTTTGACAAAAATAAATGGAAACCCCATTGGAGAGTGACTTATCCTCTAATGAGAAAGTTGTGCTGTACTATGATGACATAGCACCTGGAACGATGGTCAAAACCATCACGGTCGAGGTCGACTAAGCCACCTACGAGGTGTATTTAAGAAGCACTGAAGGAAGCTCCAAACGACCATGGAATGCTTCAGTACTGTTAGAATTGGGGTGTAGATCAAACCTCATTTCCGATGAGGAGCGCCGGCGAGGAGCTCCGACGAGCTCGATGGCGACGCAGGCGAAGCTACAGGCGGCGAGGTCCAGGCGATCTTCGGCAGCACGTGCGAGCGCCTCTCCCAAGCTTTGCGTTCGAACCCAGCTCGGAGTTCGAACCCAGCTCTGCGTTCGACCCCCCTCTCCTTTTAGCTCGGCGTTCGAACCCCCTTCAGCCGAACTCTGCGTTCCTCTGACGAACCCGACCTTTGCGTCAGGGTTATTCGCTGGCGACAGGCTGTCGCCAGCCCCTCATCTCTGCCTATATAACTATTCTCAAGTGAGAATTGAAAGGCTTTATACTCTTTGATTATTAACACTGTAGCTACAGTGTTTATTTGAGAAATCCCAGTTTTGGGATTTG